CAAGATCAGATTAATTTTAAGCCATCTAATCCAATGCAAAACACTCACAACGCCAAGCACAGGTGACATCAACGGGCCTTCTCGGTGGCCTGCCTTTCAGAAGTTTTGCCCCAAAGCCCCCAAAGTTTAAGAAAAGAATCCATTGGCCCCCTAGGTTAAAAGGCCAGCCCAGGGCCAGCCGAGTGGCGCGATGGTTAAGAACTGGCTTGGGACGCCAGAGGGCCCCGGTTCGGATCCCACATATGAGGGCCAGTGACACTGCCCTCTACAGCTAAGATGCAGAACAACAGCTCAACCTGGAGCTGGGCAGCTGTGAGTCGCCAGCGTCAGCGGAGGCTGCAGCCCCTGTGGCAGTGGGTTGCCATCGGCTACCGTGTGTAGCCAGCAGCCAGCGAGAGCGGCCAGCAGCCTCAGCGAGCGGCCGTCAAGAAGCCGGCGACTGATCTGCCTCACCAGGGAAGAGCATGCAATGATGGTGCCAACTTGGGCCAGTGAAGCAATGTCCTCCACAACTAGACTAAAGAACAAAAACGACAGCAACTTGTCTGTTCCCCTTCCCCCAATTCCCTAGCACTGTTCCCATCCCCCCAATTCCCCAATAAAAAAAATCTTTAAAAAAAAAAAAGGCCAGCCCAGTTCCAAGATTCTAAATTCGTTTCGATTTGTGCATTCTTTCCCCAGACACATTCAGGGGCTGCCGTGGGAGTCAATGGCTTCTCCCTGTGTTCAAGTCCCCTCCCACCCATCCACCCCCTTTTAGAAATCAGAAAAGAGCCACCAGTCTCCAAATTGGCTGATGAAATCTCAGCCTACAGGATATTTTCATACTGGAGTTATAATAAACCATTGAAACGAAGATGAATAGTGGACAGCTCAATTATCTGTTGGCCAGAGCATCTGAGGCCCAGCAGCAGGATACAAAGTCCAAACTTCTGTAACCTAGGCCAACGCCAAGTATGTACGCATGTATTTGGAGAATCACTGACAATTCTCCATTCCGTTGAGTTACTCTGCAGTATAGGAGGTGGAGTCTATTGTGTGCCTAGTCCTAGAGGCTCACTTTGGTCACAGGCTTGCTAACTGAAAGACTTTCCATTTGCATTCAAGTCGGAATGCCGTAATTTGGGACCAGGCTCCACTCATCCCATTCACTTACACCCAGGATTGCCCAGGAAGCTCGATTCGAGTGGGTTCTGACCATCCACCTATGGGTCCAATTAAAGTACCAGAACCTACAACAGGTGACAAGTCCTCCGTTTCTGATTCGTTTTTCCACAACGCGAAAAGGTTTTCTTCAGCGTTTCTAATACTGACTTTACTACAAACAGCCCTAGCAACATTTAAGTCTTTCAACTGCCTGGCTCAAAGAACCAATTCACTCCAAGAACACACTAGTACTGTTGTGGGGTTCCAAAGAAGAAAATGGCATATTAGGTCTGTTTTGGCCCACTGTTAACATGGCTCAAGAGGGCCGATCAAGGAGGAGTCCTGATTGGGCCTGTCAAGTGGGCAATCTGGTCAAGGTGAGGCTGACGAGCAGCTGACTATTGGAGATGAATGACCCCAGCAAAAGGCAAAAGTAGGTGACATCCTTTGATCACATGCCAGCCCCAAGATGCCGACATTGTGGGATTGGGCCCACAATGGTCATTTATCTAATGTAATCCACTGAGTGAACTTTTAGCACCAAGTCATGTCTCAGCTGAGTGTTATTAGTCATCAGGCGGACCAGACAAGAGTGGAAATATTGCGACATAAAACCTGCCTCCCTGCAAAAAAACCACTTCAATTTAGATCCTGATGGTCATCTTTATAGATCAACAGGGGCTTATTATTATCACTCGCCCAACCTTCAACTCCAAGTTCATACACAGCTGGAAGCAAAGGAGGATTCGTATCGTAGAACACATTGGAGATACTCGCTATGCAATTTTAAATAGCAGCCCTTAAATCAAAACCCTGTAAGAAAAAAGGTGTACTCTCAACATGAACATCCCACTGAACTGTGAACACAGAGCTTGAGATTTATCTGCCAGAAAAGACCCAGGTGACCACAGCCGCCTTCTCTCCCACTTAGCAGGGTGACTTGTTTTTGTTACAATAGTCCAACAGCACCTACAAAACAGTCAGCGATGAGACTCGGAAAAGCAACAGAATGGATCAGAAGAAGCATCACTTTCTATTTCCTTCTCCTTCTTCTTATCTGACTACCTGTTCTGAGCCCGGCCTCTACCTCCTTGACCGACTCTTCATTCTCCGCTTTGCTTGCTAGGCTCTGGGGATGACTGCCTCTCCTTCCCCTTCTCCCCCCACCTCCTCACCCCCTCTCCACCCCATTCCTTTCTCTCCAGGCCCTGGAACTCACCAAAGTCACTCCAGCCCTAGCTAGCTACCTTGTCCCAGGACCCAGAAGGCTCCTCCCTATCTTTGGAGGGCTGGCTACTTTTCATGTAAAGCTCAGCTTAGTGTCACCTCCTCAGAAAGCTGTTCTTTGACTGCATTGCAATCACTTTCTATCACGCCATTCCTACTTTCTTTGGAGCTCATCAAAATCTGATTTGTTGGCTTATTTATTATCTGTCTCACCCCACCCCCAACCCCCACTCCGATGTAAGCTCCCTAAGACAGTGGATGTTATGCTTATGCTTGTGTTCCACCTTGGTAAGCCCAATGCCTGAAACACTGGCTACCACTTAGTAGCTGGTCAATAAGTGCTTGTTGAATGAATGAATGAATGAATGAATGACTACTGGACCTTTTACTCAGCAGCTCCAAATCAATTAAGGTGAGAACAGCAGTCACTCTTTCCTTTCGTTGCATTTCTGCAAAACACCTAAACATGCTGTTACTTGTACAATCAAAGCATTAAATATTCTGTTTTATCAGGCCCGAGAAAGTCCTGATGAGTAGGGTGGGACTGGTTGTGATAATTCTCCAGCAATATGCATATAAACTCAGTTACAGAGGGCTAGGATTTATGCACTTTCTAATCAAAGGATCTCTAAAACTGAGACACTATCTCTTAAAGCTCTTCAGAAAGCACAGTTCTAGATTCAACAGAGGACTTCCAAAGAAAATATCAACACCAAATTAGGAATCATTACACTTCACTGTGAAACCCGAGTGACAAGCTAAAGGAACACACTACCTGATTTTTTTTTTTTAAACCAACAGCACATCAACAAAGAGACTTTCTTTCCAATCACTCTTTGCTTCCTTCAAATACTTTTTTCACATCTGTTATTGGTTTGTATTCGTCTTCCAAACAAAACTAAACAGATCACACCTTCTCATTAAGGACCACCTATCCACAAAGAATCAGCTAAATAAGATGGAAATTAGCACACGCCGAAATGTGTCACTGTAGACTCGCGTGTCAGACACACAAGCGGGAGCAAAAGAGCTATTGTCCAATTGCAGAAACCAAAAAGTAGCATGGGGTTTTCTGTTCTCTGAAGCACATCGCGAAGTGTGGGTGGAGAGACACACAGAAATCCAGAATTAACCTAGCATCAAGTCGTTTTGGAAAGAGTTGACAACATGCAAATTCCTCACACAGAAAGTATTTAGAGCAAGAGACCTTGATTCCTGGGCTATGATGCCATTTAGGAATCCTTGCAAGGGCTTTGGAATTCCAGTATTCACACGACAAAATGCTCCACTGACCCGGGAGGTACTACCAATGTGACACAGCCTGTAACTGAAGTGATTACAAAGCTTGCAGTTAAGATCTGGGATGGAGGCTGAACACCAAATTCGAAAGAGGTAACCAAGGTACCAAGTGCCATCAAGAAGACACGAAGACAGACACACAGACACACAGACAGACAGACACACACACACACACACACGCACAACACCTCGATTACCACCTAGCCACAGAGAAGTCAAGGGGAAACGAGGGGTGTATGTCGGGGAGGATGAGGGGTGAAGGGGGGATGGAAAAACACAATACATCTGTCGCCCCGTCCCACTTCCTATACAGGATGCAGGCGAAGCCTCCAGCCCCACTGCCTCAGGCACAGATGGTTATCGTTTATAGCAAAGGTGCACAGAAAGGCCTTCAGGTCTGAGCCCCTTAATTCCAGGGCTGTTAATGATTAAAAGAGAAGGATGGGGGTGGGGAGGGAAACGAGGGCGGAGGGGGCCGGAGAGTCACCCCCCCAAACCGCCCGCCTGGGCTCCCACCTCACAGCGCTTACCCGGGCCACAGGACCAGAGTCTGCACCCCCTCCAGGGCAGCTCCGGCCCCCAGGCCCTGGGCTGAGGGGTGCTGGCGGTGGAGAGGCAGGGACAGTAGGTAAGTTTTCTGAGCCCTGCCGCTGACACGCCACAGGCTCCCCTCACAGCCTCTTCTTCCAGGGGGACCAGTCCAGACAAGGCGCTGATTTCCACTCCTCCCCTTCCACCCCACCCCCC